TACAAAAAAAAAAAAAAAATTCTATATATTTTACTCTGTTGTAGGATGCAATTAATAATATTATTTCTGCTCTTTTGATGGCTTTGAATGGTTTAAAATATTATTATATTTAGCATTCAAAATCGTGGCACTGTTAAAATATGTATTTTGAATATTTTATTTATTGGAAGTCCCATTTTGAGAAAAAAAAAGTATGAATTTTAGTTTACATAAGTGCGATTTTTGTATACATTGTGGCGCAGACAGATTTGTTCCCGTTGTCGGATGATGGTGTAGGGAGAAATGATACTCTGCAACGCGACCAGGAAAAGCGGCCTAGTCATCTCTTGCCTAAGAAAATTAGATGCCGAGTAAGAAAAGTCAACACAAATCAACGGCCAAGATTCAAGGTACATTTTCAATCTGATTGAAATTTTAATTAGTTGAATGTTGTGCAAAGAATACTTTTTATCTGGTACTTGTAACTTGTATAAAATATGACAGTTTGAGCATGAATACATGTAAATCTATTGAAAAATTGATTGTTTAGTCATTAGGTACTCTAATACAAGCGTTATAAAATATGTGAATTTATTAAAATAGTATGATTATTTAGTAATTAGGCGATCGTTCAACTGGTAAACCATATTTAGTAATTAGGGGATCGTTCAACTTGTATGTAAACCACGTTACATATGAACTTAGGGATTTTCTTCAAATGTATGTATTGTTCAAAACTTATGAAAAATTAAGTTCGCAAACAGAATTAGAAAAAGAACTTGTCAAATGAAAAATTTCCTCCTATTTTTTAGTCTCTCTCTTGATTGATTGTGTTTGTGACTTTGTGAACATCTTAAGAATCACTATATATGCAACTTGTTATATGATATTTGACATTTTTTTTTATTTTTTTTTTGTAATGATGTGTGCAGGGAAGATTTTGTGAGAGCACCAAATCCCTCTAAGTTTAAATTCAATTTTCTTTTTAGTCTTTTATAGAACAATTTTTGAAATTATTATTCTCTTCCTGTAGCTTGTGATAATTTTTTATTTTTTAAATATGACCCGTTTGGAGACAAACTACCAATAAATGTCATCCTTTTCATTTGGGCACTGTCCATATAGAAATATAGAATTAGTCGAATAAAAGGCAGATTGTGAGAAGAAATTCCAAAATGAAATTAAGAATTAGTTCCAAGCAAGAAAACTCCAATCAAGATTTCTTCTGCCTTAAATTCTCTCTTTTTCTCCAGCGCTTAAGAGATCTAAACCTTACTATTTAAATAAAACAAATTAGGTTCATACGCAATAGCCCAACCCGTCAGATTATTCTAGTCATAATTAAATAACTTAACTAAAATCTGGAAATTTAAATATACAGAAGCATTAACACACACCCACACATTTATGCATGTGTATGATCTGACACTAAAGAATTGAACTAACCGAACATACTTTTCCCGGGATGTTGCGATTCTGTTTTCATATAGACCTTCAAAAATTTCGGATCAAATGGCCTATTGAGCCCATGTACAACATCAAAATTTTGGTCCAATGTGGGCTTTGTTCATAAACTTGTCAAGACGTCTGCAGGGCTTATTTCTGCAAATTTAGCCCATGCAGCTAGGAAGACCAGCAAGCCCACATAAACTTAATTAAATCGGAAAAATGTTGTCTATGTTGTCTTAATTATGGTTTCATATTCCATAGGTGTTGTCTTTAATTGTAGGAAAAATTGTAGACTTCATTCAATCCAAAAGATTTGTGATTTAGGGAGTGTGTACACATTTTTAGAACAATATTTTGATGTTTGCAAAGTTTTGTAATTCATAATATTTATTAGACGAATAGTTGCCGTGAGATTAAATAAATTAGATAAGGGATAAGGTGTATTTAGTTCAATTTTTCCAAAATGATCGATAATAAACTATTAAAGGTGAAATAAGGGTGAAGTAATTCTTGATTGATATACTTTTTAGAGATTAGAAGATAGATTAATTATCATTAAAATCATAAATAATAAGTAAAAATAATTAGAAGGGTTGGACTTGTTTTATTTAGACGTTAGGTAACGGCGGATACAAGGTTATGTCTATATTGGGTCGGACTTGTTTTATTTAGACGTTAGGTAACGGGGAAGGTTATGTCTATATTGGGTCGGACTTGTTTTATTTAGACGTTAGGTAACGGGGATACAAGGTTATGTCTATATTGGGTTGGACTTGTTTTATTTAGAGGGATACAAGGTTATGATTTTATAATTTTATTTAATGGTGATTTTATAATTTCTCAGTATGAAATTGATGCCTACTATTATTATTTATATCTATATTGGGTTGGACTTGTTTTCTTAAAACTTTAGGTTTGTTTTAATTGGGTTTTAATTAATAAGGATATGTTGAATTAAAACCAAGGAGATGGGGACTTGTTTTATTTAGAGGGATACAAGGTTATGATTTTATAATTTTATTTAATGGTGATTTTATAATTTCTCAGTATGAAATTGATGCCTACTATTATTATTTATATCTATATTGGGTTGGACTTGTTTTCTTAAAACTTTAGGTTTGTTTTAATTGGGTTTTAATTAATAAGGATATGTTGAATTAAAACCAAGGAGATGGTTTTATCTGGCAGTTATATAATATTATCGAATTGGATCATAAAAGAAAAACTTTGAAAAAAATGACAACCTCTTCTATATCTTTAAACATTTTACATCAACACCTTTGCTTATTATTTAGACACAATTACTCTTTTCTATTCCATATACACTTTTTTCATGGCGCAGTTAGGTTTTTAATTTTTAGACCCTATTATATCAGTGGGGAATGCTACCATTCTGTTTGATTGACTACCCATCACTAGATTATATGTATATCTATGGCTAGAAAAAACAACGGAACCATCGCGTAGGCCGTAACGGGATGATAGCATTCTGCTATATTAGTAACTTCTCGTAACTTCTTCTCCTTTTTCTTATAACTTCTTATTTTTCATTTTTCTTATCTTCTTCTCTTAATATTTTTCCCTGTTTTCTTTGTCCTCTTCTTCTTGTTTCTAATTTTTGTACTTCATCCTTCTCAAATCCACATAATTCCCCTCAATTTCTCTTCACCGAAACCGCGCCATCCCAGTGAGTGGTGTTTCGGGCCCACTACTAACTTAAATATCGGAATGGATTATTGCACCTGTCGCACCCGTCGACACCCCTTTATCTTCAATTCCGATATTTAAGCTACGATGGGTAAGGTACTAAGGTGTTTGTTGCACCTGTTGCAAGAGGAATGGTCGCCATTGGATCACGAGAGCATCCAATCACATCTCTGAGTTTAGGTTTCTTTCTGTTTCTTTATCCTAACCTAGTAGTGTCTTTTTTTTTTTCCTTCTTTATTTTTAGTGTTTTTTTTCATGAGAAATTTGATGCATGTTATGCTAGCACAATCGAGTTGTTCTTTACTTTGTCTTGGTTTACTGGTAATTGGTGCTGATTTTCAGTAAGTGGACTTTGTTTATAGCTTTTGCCCTATAATGGTGAATTTGTGCCGATTAGGCCCTCTTGAACTTTTAAGATTTAATGGTGACTTGTATTTTTGCTTTTTATTTTCCTAAACAATTGTTGAAGATAAATCTTTCAGTATGGTGGATATGTTACTGTTAATCGATAGTTGTTTTATGTTGCTTGAAAGATATTTTATTGTTGTATTGTTGGTGAATATGTTACTGTTAATCGCTAGTTGTTTTTATGTTGCTTGAAAGTTATTTTATTGTTGTGTATCATGTTTGTTTTTTTTTTTAATAATATATATTATTAATTATTTTAGGGAAATCAAGGGCATAAGAGAAAGGGGATAACAAATTGTCAGAACAAATTCCAAATTGAAATAAATAATTAGCTAAAAGCGATTGAAAACGAAAAAGACCAAAAACAATTGCAGAAGAACTAGCTCCGATCGAGCGCAAAAAAGTCCAATCAAGATTTTTTCTGCCCTAGACTTCTCTATTATTTTTCTCCATTACTTAAGAGATCTAAACCTTACTATTTCAATAAAACAAATTATTTTCCTACGCAATATAGCCCAACCCATCATATTATTCAAGTCATAATTAAATAACTTAACTAGAATATGGAAATTTAAATATACATATGTATTACATACGTCCATACATTTATGTATGTGCGTGATCCGAGTCATCTGACACTAGAATTGAACGGGTAAATTACGTAACTACCTAGTATAAACCTAGAGTTTAGAAAAATATAAGTTAGTAGAAAATATTTATACAAATACGTATTGGTTTAGTAAAATACGTGAAAAAAATAACTGCTGAAATTTGAAAACTGATAAGCCCATATCAGCTTTTACATGTCTGAATTGAAAACCACCCTTGAAAACAGTCATTTATTTGCTAAAGTAACATTAAAAAAAGTTTCGACAAAACAACACAAAATATAACAAAAAATGAACAAAAACTTTATTAACAAAATTAAATAAGCGGTGACTGAAAAAAATAAATAAATAGAAAAACACTGATTGCATCCATAATTGAATTAGGAGAAGCAGTTGGAACTTGGGAGGTGTTTTCAAGTCTGTAGAAGACTTATTCAATATGTAAAAAGATAAGTACTCCTTTTTATTGGTAATAATATATGTGAAATATTAGTGTAAGTAATTATATTATTTGATTTAATACATACACACATGCACAAATATATATTATTTGCAACAGGGATAACATAATTGAATAATATGTCTTTTNCATGTACAAATTTTTTTATGGAAAACTGTACAAGCATAAAAATATAAAAGAAATAAAATAAAATAATTTACTTGAAACTTCAAATTAATCATGTCACAACCAACTAGAAACCAAAAACCAATTCATATCACAACCAACTAGAAACCAAAAACTAAGTTACATTACAATTACAAATCCAACAACATAAAAACAATATAAATTATACTTCACGAAAACAAACAAAAAAATAAAAATAAATAAATAAAATAAAAATACACATAATAAAAAATCAACAATAAACATAAATCAAATTAGTCACTGTAAAATCTCAGCCTAATTCCAGAATCCCAACGGCTGTATCAAGTTGCAACAGCCCCCAACCATGTTTCTAGGCTTACAGCGTCGTGGAGATTCTTCAGCCGGCGAGAGACAACTTCAATTCCGATGTAGGCATGGTGTGAATCGAGGGCCCCAAATTTTGTACATCATCCCCAAAATATGATTTTCTTAAATTTCATAAACTTCAAACAGAGACATTGAATGGGCGAAGTTCACCGAAACTGACATTGTTGTGATTCGTTTTTTAGGAGAGGAACTCAACCACCGTTGGTGGCCAAAAAGAAGGTGGAGGCTTGAATATTCATCGAAAAAAACTGTTGAATTGGACGAAAATCCGACCCAGGGAGACTGCTTCATTGCCGGCACAAAAGCGTGATGCAAAACTGGGGTCCCCCAAATTGGAATTTGATTTTTTTTTTTTCTTTTATACATGTTTTAGTTTCTCATCCTTCCCTCAATACACACCAATGCACACACAAGCATGCATTCCTCAAACGATGAAAAATTCATACTTTAATGTCCTCCAATTCTCTCCTAATTTCGACAAAATTCAATTGGTTTTTAAATTGACAAATACTATAGTAATTTCAGAAACAATAAAAATTTTTATCAAAAAGAACGAAGGATAAAGAAGCAGAATGCCAAAAAAGATAATGGATAAATATGCATTAACTGCCTCAGAAACTCACGTGAAGTGAAAGCCACGTATTTACAGAAAATGAAACGTACAATCAATAAAAAAAAGTACAAAATATAAATAAATAAAATAGGTTATAAAAATATAAATAAAAAATAAAATTAGTTATAATACACCATTTACTCAGAATTGAACTAACCGGTCATACCTTTCGAGGGAGAGAGGTTGCAATTTGGTTCTCGTGTAGACTTTTAAAAATTGTCAGACCAAATGGCCTATTGAGCCCATGTACAATATCAAAATTTTTGGTCCAAGGTGGGCTTTGTGCACAAACTTGTATAGACGTCTTCAGGGCTTATTTCTTCAGCTTTTGCGCAGCTAGGAGTCCCAGCAGGCTCACATAAACTTATTTAAATTGGTCTGATCATTAAAATAAATAAATTTGCATATTGATTTAGAGACAGGGAAGAAGGTAATAATGTTATTTAGAGCATCTTCAATGCTATGATTTTGAAAGATAGTTATTTTTAAAACATGTTAATCAATGATTGTAATGTTAATCTACATAGAAGTAATGTTAAAATATTAGAAATTTGAATCAAACTAATATCTCCAATGCATAATTTGATAAGAAATTATTTGTATAGGTGGACCAATTAAAATAATTCATTCAACAAGAACAATAAAAAATTGAACTAAATATAAAGTGAATAATGAGTCATCATGTTTAACATGATGTTAAATATTAAAAAGTGGACTCAACATTGTCAACATTAAATGACATCCACCTCATCATGAAAGAGTTCGTGACAAGATACATTGGAGAATAAATTGGTCAGACACTTTCAATGAAAGTTGATGATATTGATAATTTTTTAATGTCAAAAGTCACATTGGAGATGCTCTTATTCACTTGTCGGTTACGATTTCAATATCGATACGTATCACTAATCGAATATAATGAAATAGAAATTGAAATATAATTTTGATATATGAAATTATAATATAATTTTGATATCGGAAAAATGTTTTCTATGTTGTCTTTATTATGGTTTCATATTCCATCTATGTTGTCTTTAGTTGTACGGCAAAAATGTGGACTTCATTCAACCAAAGATTTGGGATTTAAGGAGTGTATACACATTTTTAGAACAGTATTTTGATGTTTGTAAAGTTTTTTAATTTATAATAATTAGTTAGGTTTATTAGATAAATAGTTGCCGTGAGATTAAACAAATTAGGTAAGAGATAAGGTGTATTTAGTCCAATTTTTCCAAAGTATTAGAAGCAATATTAATTATTATTAAAATCATAAATGATTTAAGAATGTATTTGTGGTAGTCAGTATGATTGATTTTAGTTCTTGGCGTGGGTTACAAGTTTTTCAGCTCTATTCATTTTAAAAAAATAAAAAATAATTAAATAACAATAAAAAATCCAAAACTCAACCTCAGCATTTTCGGCCTTTTATTAAAAAAATAAAAAATAATTAAAAAATTCAACAGAAAAGCGACGAGCTGATGTTGTCTATATTTTTTTTTTATTGTTAGTTGTTTCTTGGTCAATATAATTTTGCTTATTGTTAGTTGTAAAATATTGGGTGTATAAAATGTTAAAATAAAAGGTTGAAATGAATTCAAATGATATAGTTGCAATAAGCTAAATTTAATTTCTAAGTAAAATAAAAAGTAAGGTAAAGATTAAGTATTATTCAAATCATAAATTGAATATAGTTGCAACTATGCAACTAGTGGATATAAAATACGCTAAATTTAAACTTTAAAGTAAAATAAAAAGCCCAAAACTTATTGTAGGATGTGAAACGAATAAAATGATAAAATAAAAAGCCCAAAACTTATTGTAGGATGTGAAACGAATAAAATGATAAGTCTAAAATTGTGAAAATTTCGAGATAATAGTGAATAAAATGAATGAAAATTTTGAAATAGTCGTGTATTAATTAAAAGGAAAATAAAAAGTCCTATGTAAACTTGTGAATACTGAATCTCTAATCCAAATTAGAATTTGAAAGAATTGCGAATTTCAAAGGAAAATATTTGAAATAATCTAGTATTCTAATGAAAATTATAGAAGTCCAAAAACTGGCCAAAAGAAATCGTGTAAACTCGATCCAAATTAAATTTAATAAGAATCATTTATTTCGTAGAATTATCGTGAAAATTGTGATATGAATTGTATAATAGAGTAACATCGAAATGAAATTTAATAAAATTTCAATTCTTTTTGTTGACTAAATAGAAAACATATTTACTTACTAAAACAAGACCATCCATTTACTATATAACCACATACATCAAAATCCAATTAATAGCAACTTAACCATCACAAATACAAAAACACTTAATTTTAACAATCACCAAATAATTTCAACATGACAAGAAGAACCAAACACGAGTTGATAGTTAATACTACCAAAAGAAACAAAGCATTCGATAAAAGGACGCAAAGCCTCGTGAAAAAGGCAAACGAGCTCTCTATACTATGTGGGGTCAACGTTGGCTTGATCGTTCACAATAGAGAAGCCAATGAGAACAATGTGGTCTTGTGGCCTTCCCCACCGGCCTTTAACGAGTTGCTCGAGAGGTTCGTCAACACTTCGAATGCAGAAAAAGTTAGAAAAATGGAAACACATGAAACAAGCGTGCTTCGAGCAATTAGAGAGGGGACTGAGAATTTGTCTAAGGCCAAAACGACACTTGAGATGACAGTGTCTCGACAACTTTTGGCCGAGGTGACTAAGGGAAAGGACATGAAGGAGCTCGATCTGCAACAACTCAAAGGGTTGGCTTTGTTTGCAGAGGAGATGCTAAAAAAGGTTCAAAAGAGACGAGTCGAGCTCAATGCTGATCTAACAAATGTTGCATCTACTTCTAATGTAGCACCTCAAAATTGATTCCTATTAGCTTAAATTACAAACATAAAAGTCACAAGTATTTTGTTATGTTATTAAAAAGAATGTAAAAGAATTTGAACCGTGGAAGTGAATGTTTCTTGCATTGAATGCTAGTTGTTTTCATATTTGCTTGAATTTTTAATAGTTTCATAAGAGTATTAATGAGGGTTATATATATTTTTTCAGCATATTTTCAAACTAATTAAAAAATAACATAAATAAAATATGATATCTTATAGTAGAAATATGTATTTTCATCATAAAAATATAATTAATTATGACCCACCTAACAATTAGACTGCCTCGTGTAAAAGTTTACACCTCATTATTAAAGTAGAAGATGAAGGTGCTTAGGCGAGTGAGTTTAGCTCACAATTGACATATTTATATGAGCACAAGGAAGTGTTCACGAGAGTACTATTAAATCAAGAAAATCAATTTATTATAAAATGAAATTATACAAGATTTATGCTACAAATTAGTATTGTAGATTTGGAGTGAGACGACTATCATATCGAAATAATCAACTTATTGTTAACGTACAATTATACGAATATAGATTTGAAGTGAAGCATTGATTGGTAACAAATGATATAACAAACTGGTGTATTTCTGGAACACTAATTGTAGTTGCAATGGGAGATTGGTAGTGTGTGATAATAAGAGTTTTGAATTAAAATTATAGATTTATATTCTAACTAAAGATTTCACCAGTCACTTTCTTTATATTTGATGCTGATAGATGGTTTTAGATTAGTAATTTAAAAAGTGTNAATACGAACCTTTTGGAAAGTGAGAACTGAATATTTTTACAATTATTTATATAAGCATTAGTGTACGTAAATTAATTAACAATTTATCATTAGTAATATTTATTTCTTATATATAAAACTCAACAAACTATACGTTACCATTTCCATTTAAAAATTGTACATTAGTAATTTCAAACCAGTCATTGTTGTTAAATTAATAATATTTAAGTATTCACAATAAATTCATCATATAGATCTGTCTTATAAGTAAAAATATTCCTAACAAAAATATTTTTGATGTCATTATTGATTTTATATGAAAAAAATATATTGTCTTTTATTAATTAAGTATTGAGTATTCAATTGTCAAAACTGACAATGTTATCATTATTATCTAATATATATAATCCGATAGTGATTATGTATGCCTTAAAGCATAACTAAATCACTATATTTATGTCAAATTAGTAGTTTATACAAGCCATGACACAATAATAAATTGTAATATTGGATGAAGATATGATGAATTTTTGTTGACCAAGTGTGAATTAACCTATACGCAGTTTTGTTAATTACTTCTAAACTAGTATCCATATTCAAATATTCACTAAATAACAAAGACCCAAAAAAGGTTCGACTTGTAATCTGACTCTGACCATCACAATTGCAATTTTTCTTTTACCATTTAAGTTGATCAATTTTGCTATAGAGTCATCGGATCATGATTTATGGAGTCATTTACATTTATTCACAAATAATGTATTGACACATATCTTACAATAAATACACTTTGAACATATGCCAATACATTAATTGATGGATGACTCCATAAAAAAACTATCCGATTGCTCCATAGAATTTATGTTGACTTGATAATAAGTCATTTATGCCCAACATACCTAAAGAATATAACAGATTTTGTTCGGATCAATTTAATTAGAAGTGTATTCGTATGGAGTTTTTAGAAATTTTTTAAGATTTTAAAAATTATGAGATATTTAACTTATTTAAAATTAAATTTATTAAACTGCATTTTGTATTTTTTTACTCGTATAATTTATAAATTTTACTATAATAACATGTCTCGCTGTAACCCACAAGCTATGTGCTAGTCAAAATTGGTAGACTAGCTAGTCAAATTGACATTTTTTTTTTTCTTTATAATTTTAGCAAACAAGTAAACTATATTTGAGAGAGTCAAATAAAGGAAATTTCCATTGGAGTGCTTGATTTTTGTGTATTATGTCATAATAGAGTTTGAATTTTCAACTTTATCAATTGTTGGTTTTAATTTTAAGTTATTCTCAATTGAAGAACTATTTTTACATTTTACTTCTAAACTTAATACCACAACTAATTTTGTAATTGACATAATTATGTAAATTAAACTACTATTTTTTTGAAATTTATATTTTAAATACCTAAATAAAAAAAATACTAAGCATCTTTAGTAAATTTACCTTATAAGAATTAATTCATATAATTTACATTTATGCAAAAAGATTAATGAAATTTATTTTGAAAGTTAAAAAATATTGAAAACTAAATTCTAACAATGTATAATTCAAATATTATTATACATGATAATCCAAAATAGTAATACCATTAACAAATAAACTATTTATAAAAATTATTTTAATTTGTTTCTAAATAAAAGTATTGAATATACTATTCATCGATAAATTTTTATTTTTTTTTGAAAAAATTAAGAATATACAAAATTAATACTTATAATAAAAATTATCAAATATCTTAGTTAAATTAGTTTAGTAAGAAAATTAATTCATATAAGTTACACTAATGCAAACTTTTGGCAAAACTAATTTTAAAAGTTCAAAAATGGAAAATAGACTTTATGTAATATATAATTTAAGTATTATATTCATTAATATCTAAATATTTAATAAAAATAGATAATAAAGTGTTTTAAAAATTATTGTAGTTTTTTTTCTTCCTAAGCTTTGCTATTGATTTTTTGTAGATAAGTTCCATAGTTCCATGCATTATCAATAGTCAACCTTAGAAAAAAAATAAGAATAAATTTAAATAATTTTTTTAAATTATATTAAATATTTAAATTATAAATTTAAATAATATTTAGATAATATTTTTCAAAATAATATTATTATAAATAAGAATTTTAATCATACATATTTTCAAAAATAATAATTTTAGATATGAATAATATTTTCAATAATATTAATTATAAAAAAATACAATAATTTCTTAAAACTTATTTTATAATGTTATTATACATTTTTCTATTACCAATTAATATAATATTTAAATTATACATTCTTAAATTTAGTTTTCATTATTTTCTAATTTCAAAGTAAATTTCATTTAACTTTTATATAATTTACTGACTAAAGAAATTCTATTAAAGATATTTATAATTATTTATTTTAAATATTTAAAATATAAATTTAAAAATAATAGTATTTTTGTTTACATAACTATGTAAAAATATAAAGTTAATTGGGTCTTAAATTGAGAACTAGAATGTAAAATTATGTCTTCAATTAAGAATAACATAATCTTGAAACCTTCGATTGAGAAAGTTAAAAATTCATATCCTATTGGGACATAATACCAAAAAATTAAGTCCTACACTAAAATTATTCCGTCAAATTAATGTTTTTTTTTTTTCCTTTTTGGTAACATAGAGTGAATAAAATACAAAATTAACCCAAAATATATGAGTAGGAAGACTTTATTATGAGTGTTTTCTTTTTTAAATTATATGGACGGACTTAATTATGAGTGTTTGTATTAAATCTGTTCTTGCTAAAAGTCCAATTTTAATTAAGCTATGTTAGTAGAAAAATAAGCTATTTTATAACTTATTTGATTAGCTTATAAGCTTCTTGTATTTAAATTTTATCCAGCTACTATTATTCAATTCATTTTATATTTTTCTATTTTATCATATTTTTTTTTCTCGTCACACAATAGTGTGCTATACAAGTATAAGCTGTATAGCTGAATTTAATGATAATAGACTAATAGTTATTACTACATTCGTATTTCAATATATTAATAATTTGTACGATAAAAAAAGTTAAGATAATTTATATTTTTATTGTGCAATTATGTATGAATATACAACAATAATAAATAACGACCAAAGTGATAATTAATTCAAAATGAGGCCCTATTTTAGAATTAATTATATTTATTTTATATATCTAAATAAAATATTACAATTTCATATATTTTATTTAAATTCTTTTTAAAACAAAACAAGTTGTATTGTATTGTGATATATTTTATATTTATTCAGGTCTCTTGTTTATTAAATTTTTAAGTACTTCAAATTCATATAATTTAATAATTTAGAATATTAATTTATGCAGAAATATATTATTTTCTATCTTTATGAAATATAAATATATTTAATTATGATATTCTTTTATATTTACTATTTTAAACAACAAAACAACATTCAGTTCCTTATAAAATCTATATTCATTGAGAAATAATATTTCTTAAAATTTATTTTATGTAATACTTTCTATATTTTATCCATAATCTATGAAAAAAATAGATTAAAGTGGTTATTTTATGGTGTACTGATAGATTTTCATTATTTTATAAAATAATTTGTATTGTTATTGGATATTTTCTAAATTGATTTCATAATGGAATTAATTTGATTTATAAAGAAAGATGAGATCATTTTTATTTTATAAATCCAAGATGGATATTAAATCGAATATTGTTAAAATATGACTATTTTGATATGTCATATATAAAAAATAAAATATAAATAAAAAGATTATAAAATTTTGAAATAAAAAGAATACATGTTTATAATGATTAATATATAAATTAAATAAGAAAACGTAAGACTAGTATATCGTAACTTGTAGAAAAAGGAAAACTAAAATAGTTTATGCTAATTTTCTAATAGCCCAAATCAAATCAATACATTTTTCAACATGAAGTACAAATTTATGCAAAATAAGCTTACGAAACACACGAGTTAGCCACTTAGGCTCAACGCATTCGAGAATTATATATAAGAACGGCACTGGTATATGTTATGTTTTACATAATAAGGAAAAAATGGGAGAAAAAAAAGGCAAACATGTGAATTGCCAAAAAGAAAATCTCAATTTAAGTTCCTTGCATAAAATTCATTAAAATGGGAACCTAATGTAGAAGCTTCCTATAAACATTCTCATGTATCATGCATTGATGATCAAATATAGAATGTAGAAAGAAGCATTGTCAGATTCCACATGAAATTCTTGAAATCCATTAGTATTTTTGTTTGACTACTTTCACCAAGACTGACACTAGCATTACTAAAAGTAACGACACCCCTTTTATATATAAAAGTATAACCAACAAACCAAAGGAAGATAAGTTACCATCAAATCTTAAATCAAAACACATAATTTTTTGACAATCACAAACTAAACAACATGACAAGAAGAAGAACTAAACATGAGCTCATATCCAATACGAACAAGCGAAACACAACATTCAGGAAAAGGTCAACAAGCCTCGTGAAAAAGGCTAATGAGCTCTCGATTCTATGTGGAGTCGATGTTGGTGTGGTCGCCCATAATCGAGAAGGTGGTGAGAACAATGCTGTCCTTTGGCCATCCCCTCAAGCCTTTAATGAGATGTTGCAAAGGTTTCTCAACGCATCTGAAGTGGAGAGAGCTCGAAGAATGGAAACCCACGAAACAAACGTGCAGCGTGCCATCATGGAGGAAGTGGAGAATGTGGCGAAGGCCAAGAAGAAAGTTGAGATGAGAGTTTCTCAACAATTATTGGGCGAGGTGACTAAGGGTAAAGATCTGAAGGAGCTCGATCTACAACAACTGCAAGGATTATGCTCGTTTGCAGAGGAAATGCTCAATAAAATTAAAAAGAGAGAGGAGGAGCTCGATGTTGACCAAACAAATGTTGCATCTACTTCAAATGTGGCACCCCAAAACTAATTGTATTTTAATTTGCAAATTGATTAGCCATTTATGTTTTTATTAATATTTTAGTTTCTTGTTTCTCAAAAAGGAGTTGAAATACAAAAGTTATTATTTACTATGTTGGACTGTATTCTCCATTAGTATTGCAAACCAAATTTGATTATTGACAAATGTTATAGTTCAAGTGGCATCACTCACCATTTTGTTGCATTTTATGTTTCTCACTATCCTCTCCAAATTATCAAGAAAAAAACAAGAAGGAAGCCAACTAAAAGTGCTTTGGCTAAACGAAAAGCTTTCATTAAATTTACTAATGAACAAAAACTCTTTAAAAAAAATTTAAAAAATTACTCTATTCTACATGACTGAATGAGCATTCAACATTGAAGGCTCGACATTGAAGGTCATGATGACTAATAAGCCTAGACGCTTGACCGGGAACATTATGATGAGCGGCTTGAACGCTTATTTATAGTCGTGAAGAGAAGCTTTAGTGAATATTAAATTGGAATCGTTGGTGAATTTTCGAATCGGATTATACGATATTTACTTCAAAATAATCATAGTATTATAGACCTGGAGCTCTGCATTGATGAGTAGCAAATCAAGAAAATCAGTTTTATCGAATCAAACTGCACCGATTTTTTTTAAACGATTAAATTTCTATTGTTGTTGCCTCATATTAAGGCAAATATCATATTAAGACTAATGGTTAGGCTGATATGCATTTTCAATATATATATATACTTTTCAACTGAAATGTTACATCTTGAAAAATTACATTGACAAAAATATGACATTTAAAAATATAATTATTCATTTTAATTTGTTTAAAAAAAGTATCACAAGCTGATTTGTCTAACAGTTAGATTATTAGAATTTGATTTGTGATTACTTTGGTTAAAGCAACACTTAAACCAAATAATATGTGGTTACTAGATACATCTTGTATAATACAATTCACGCATGATATTCGCTTTTAACTGTAAATATTCAACTATGCTAACTAGGAATATGAAATATCTGAAAATAACTTCAATAATATTTTGTGGATGAGCTGTACTACAAGGTAATTAAGTATTGTATATTCAATATGGTTTTTCATTAAATATTAACATAGAGAATGTGAATTCAATTTGGATTTAAAATATACATGGCCACCTTATTTGGTAATTGCACGAAAACTTTGTAAACTTTTAATCTCTTCCCAATTTAG